AAAATTTCTTCTGGCTTTGTCAGCCCAAAAGGAAAGAGGTGATCTGTCAGAATGAGACTTGATGGCCAAGAAGGAGGAACAAGATACATAAATGCTGAAAAGGTGGGAAAAGTACTCCCTAAGACTATTGGCAATGCTCTGTACATCAGCAGCTTCCTGGCCATTGGAGAGCACAATGGAAAGTGGATGGGAAGAATACTTCCCACTGACCTTCTGAATCTTATACTAGATGACTTTGGAACTGGTGGTAGAAAATATGCTGGTAGTGAACTTAATCCAAGATTCCTTTTGCCTTTGATGTCTGACCTGCTGAGCATGGGCATGGTTCCACTGGAAAGCAATGCATTTGGAAAGAGTGGGATACCTGCGAAATATTTCACAGTTTCATTTTTGAGCCTTCTGTGCCAGCTGGCAAGCAGGAAACCACCATGGACAAGGATAATTTGGAAATGTGTCAAGGTTTTGGGGATAGAACAAACAGCTGCATGAATAATACAACCAGTTACTGCCTTCACACAGTTGTTAACAGATGGAAGACTAACAACAAAGGAACAAGTTCTGAGAGAGCAGTGAAGGAGAGCCAGCAGCCTGCTCCAGCTTCCACCATGGCACACAGGTCAGGTGGCATTGAACATGGCCAATTTCCCTCAAAAACAATGGGAAAATGTTCTATGGGTTACTTTCAACTCTTCATGAAAAAATGAGAAAAAGGTGAAGGGGAACAGACAGAAAGATCAATAGCAGTAAAAGACTGACTAGGTGCATGAAAATAGGTAAAAGAGTGAAAGGCTGTGAGCTGAGAGCATACGCTTCACAGAATGACCTCTCCCATCAATGTTAGCACCACCCCAGAGGGGATTATGTCCATTAAAGTCCCCCAAGATCAAGAATGGAGATGACAGCTGGTCAATAAAATCATCAAGGTGGCCACAGCCTCCAGGGATGTATCGAGTGGAACAGACATGGGGGGGGGTCTGTGCTAGTCAACCAGCAGTGCCACACCTCCGTGAACTTGACCATCACACAACCTGTCATTCCTATATAAGGAAAACTGAGCCATATAAGGTGATAGGAATTGATCAAGGACATAATGTCATCCAAATTAGGACAAAAGCCTTGACAGGTCCCCTGTATCAAAGTGGCCATTTTTATTTAGGTGGAGGAGAACTGGGCAGAGAACCCTTCTGTTTGTGACCAAGATGTTTTTCTTTAGTAGATAGAGGTCTGGGATGATTGGGCAGATCTCTGTCAGAAGAAAGAGACTCCAGGGACTGATGGTGTGACCAAATAATGGTTCTGCAGCTCCAAGCTGAAGGAGATGGACCTAAGTAGTCACTGGAAGTGATGGTAGGGATAGAGACAGGAGCAGGCATAGACTTGTTAACTCTTTCATCCACAGAGGGCAAAAGACTCTTTACATGGTGTGGGAAAGACTCTAATGGAGGCACAGAAAGATATCTGTCTACCCTCCCAATGTAGCAGTGGAATAGAATGTAGCAGCATATGTCCAAGATGAAACAGGGGACAACAACTTTCAAGCCTCAGGGTAAGAAATGTTGTTTACAGTATGCACCCACTTTCTTTCTCCTGCACCCACTTAGGGCAAGACCGAAAGTAACAGGAGTGGGAACCACCACAATTTACACAGTGAGGGTCCAGTTAACACTCATAGGCATCATGGTCTTTGCCACCACAATGAGCACACATCATAGAACTATGACAAGATGCCTTTGAATGTCCAAACCACTGACACTGGAGACATCGGAGAGGGTTAGGAATTTAAGGCTGTAGTGTACAGTTCAGATAACCTGCCTTGCCAGTGGCAGGCAACATAATTCCATCTTTACGAGTGGAGATACATTGCACGGAAGAAACGCCTTGGCTGGAGAAACCAGTGAGGATCTCCAACTAGGGATGTTTCTTAAATCACTCTCAATGATAACCCCTCAAGAGAAATTCAAAGTAGCATGGGGAGTAACATTCATAGGTATATCCCCAATGCTCTTTGATTTCAGGAGGAGTTCAGTGTTATGATGTAGATGTTTCCCCCAACATATCCCCAGAACATAGCTTCTTAACTGACTTCGGAGAGCCAGCAAGCCCTTCTAAATAAAAAATGGAGACATTTGACCTAAAGTTTGTCAGACAAAGAAAGAAGAGTGAAAAAACAAGGTA